AGTCAAATTCCAACACGAATGGGGGTGGACTCTTCTACTGGCTCTGTAGGGTGAAGCTGCTGTTTGGAATTTGGATTTTGAGTATCTTCACCACATTGCTCTGCTCCCAAGCACCTCCACCTACCTCGTAGTGCCGTACTATGACGACTTTTCTTCCACTTGTCAGTATGGAGAGCTCATGGTTGATTCCACTAAGGTTTTACTGGTCCCATTTGGAATCCATGGCATTCTTTAAGCTAATTAAATTTCCTGTATGAGTGACAGCATTGTGATCAACTATGGTAAGATAATGAGAGTCTTCCCAACCCTTCTGGTTCTGGGCTTAGCTGTGAACCGTTCACTGCCCCAACTTTAATATCCAGGAGAGGAGAGTCTGGAGGAAAGAGGCAAGCCTATTCAAGAATCATTACCTTAAAAGATGGGGTGCCTTTAAGCTCCATCTTGGAGGAGTAAGGGGGTCAAAGGCTTGAGTAGACAAGAGAAAAGCTAGATGAAGTAGGTACAGCGAGGCAGTGGGCAGAAAGGCCAGGTGCTGAGCAGTATCTTCATGGTCCAGGACACGCTCTCCTCCCCAACTCCCATGACCAGGACATCACAAGTTACCTTGACCTTTTTTTTTTCCTGTAAGTTAAATGTTACAGCAATTCCATGCTTTGCCTTCCTTGATGTATTAGGCAAAGGTCCAAGGAACCTTAGGCATTGCAAGGATCACCATATACTCTAGGTCCTGAAATCTGATGAGAGATTATTTCACACTTAATGTTTCAGCCTCAGGTCTGGCTTCTCCTTAGAACTTACAATGCTGGGGAAAAGAGGGGCTCTGTTATTTACAAAAGGGTCATGGAGGGAAAACAGCCATGTAGAAGGATAAAGGGAGAGGAGGAGGATGAAGGAACTCTGCCAAGGACCACTGTCCCCAAAGGAGTGAGTGGTTCTTTCACCCTTTCAGCACAGAGACTCCTTCTTAGCCTCTTGGCCAATTAGCCCAGTATCATCCCAGTAGGTTGCAGCAGGCGCTTCTGCTTGGGTCCCTTTCTCAATCTCACCATCTCAACCTGAAGGTCGTCCCACCACTTGAAGTGCAATCTTCTCAGAGGAGAAGGCTCTCACTTGAAGATGCCCACCAGGTCCCCAGCATCGCAGGACTATATCCAATGCCCAGGTGGCTGGGCTCCAAGCAAGTCAGTTCCTGATGGAAAATGTTTGCTGTTTTCACAGGATGCTGTGTCTTTCTATTTTTAACAAAGAACATTGTCTGGGGGACGAGAAAAGGTTTCGGCTTTTATGAAAGAAGAAAGTCACATCAATGTCAATGGAAGAGGGATTTGTCCTGCTAGAATAATTCATTTCCTTGTTGAGGTACAGGTGGCTGTGCTGGTACCGGACATGACCATCAGGATGACGCTTCTCCAGCTGGATGCACCCCTTTAATGAGGTATGTTGTCTTGTGGGCGGACAGGAGAGGAAGAACTATGCCAGGTGGGATGAGTTTTCTGGTGTGAACCCAAGTACCAGCTTGGAGAAGGTGTGGAAAATAAAGTGTGGGCAAACTAGATCCATCGGGGGAGACGTTCTTGTATTGTAGGAGAACCGCTGAGTTGGGGTGATGGCTCAGTGCTTGTGGTAAAAGCATAAGGACCCCAGTTCAATGGCCAGAGCATAGAAAAAAATTTAAAGCCAAATTCAATGGTGCACACTGATAATCCCAGCTCCAAGGAGACAAAGACAGGGAGATCCCGCAGGCTCTCTAGCCAACCTACTTGATGAGCCCTGGGCAAATTAGAGACCTTGTCTCCAAAAAAACGAGGAGGATGGTAGCTGAGAAACGATACCTAAGACTGCCAACTGACCGCCACACCAACACACACACACACACACACACACACACACACACACACACGTATCTGTACACACACCAGAAGAATTTCCCGCTGGGCTTCTTTCAGTATTAAGAGCTCAGAACTTCTCGTCTGAGAAGAGATAAAAGTGTGTCATGGAAAGCTGGCTGGTCAGGCATTGCAGTATGACAGCAACCCCATGGGTGCTCTATATGCATGGTCTACTTATTGGTCTGGATATACCTGACAGGACTCTATGGGACTGATTACTACTGACCTAACTCACGTCTAAGGTATAACTTAGTCATCAGTATCTTGATTTATGTAGGAACTCCAATTTCCATTAATTAACTCAATGTGTTTGTTTGAAAGGCTAACATGATCTCAGATTTTCTAGTTGAGATGGCCTCTATTCCCAGCAGGGGCAGAGACAGTAAAAGATAAGTTGTTTTTTGCTATGTTCAGGAAATAGCCATGCAGCTATCATGGTGAAGTCTGAGTGGAACCTTGTTATTTTCTTGCAGGCCATTAGGAGGTCTCTGACTTTTGCTCTGGGATTCTGTGGTGTGGGATTATAGACCCTGACTAACATTTAAATGTAAACTTGGACTGACTAGGAGGAGAGGCTGCAGGCAAGGAAAAAAGTGGGGAGGCTGGTCCACATGCTTCCATAACATGGGACAAGAAGATAAGAGAGGTGCCCAGAAAGGGTCAGGTACCGAATACATTGTGAACTTGAATCTAGAGGTTTGTGCTTGTGTTTAGATGTGGTGCCTGCTTACCTGTCTATCTGTCTATCTGTGTGCCTCTTGTGTTTAGATGTGGTGCCTGCTTGCCTGTCTATCTGTCTATCTGTGTGCCTATGTGTCTGTGTATCCTCACGCATGACTGGGGAGGAGTAGGGAAGTCAGTCTGGAGGTGATCACTGTGTCAAGCCCACCATGAAGACAGCAGAAGATAGGAGTGTTGGGAATTCAGTGGAGAAGTCTGGACTGAAGACACGAAATGGGAGTTGTGGCACAGGGGTGACATTGCAATTTGAGACACCAGATAAAACTATCTAAACAGAGAGTGAGGGCAGAGGAGCTAGCATCTCTGTGAGACAGATGGCAGAACTTCATGGTGAGGGTGAATTAGAGTCTTGTAGGCCACGGCCAAATTATCGGAAATTATTTTTAGGCCCTTTGGAAGCCACCCGTTTCCTGCCTCAGTGTCAGATCTAATGCTACTCTGTCTCAGGGACCTTGTTTCAGAGACAACAACCAAAAGTTATGATGATAACGTTGACAAGAACGTTGTCAGTGCAGAAGCGAGAACAAAGGTCTAATTGAACAGGGCCCAAGACAGGATGGCAGGGAAGATGAGAAGGGAGACCCCTAGAGTTCTTCACAGAGAAAACAGAGAACAGGGGCAATCATTTTGTTGTTTGGCTGGGTGTTGATTTTGTGTGCAGGGTTAATGACCCAGAGGCAGGGTCGTGTCTAGGAGTGACATCCTTGGGCAGGTGGAGGGGGTGCAATCCAATGGCTGAGGGAGAGATTGTCAGTGGGACTCTAAAAATCATCACCAGCAGCAGAGAGGAACTCACAGTGCAGAGTCAATGAATATGTGATGGTGTGGCTGTTGGGAGAGATTTGATTGCACTGTGTAAAGATTTGTCACTGTGATTGCTTTAATAAAAAACTAAATGGTCAATAGCTAGGCAGGAGGTATAGGCAGGACTTCTGGACAGAGAGAACTCTGGGAAAAAGAAAGGGGGTTTCCCCAGCTGGACTCAGAAAAAGCAGGACATGCAGGAGGAGAGGCAAGAACCACAAACCGTGTGGTAACACACAGATGAATAGGAACAGATTAGTTTAAGTTATAAGAACTAGTTAGGAACAAGCCTAAGATAAGGCTGAGCTTTCATAATTAATACGAAGTCTCCATGTCATCATTTGGGAGCTGGCTGATGGAACAGAGAGATTCGTTACATGTGACCATGTTTCCTGACTGCTTTTCTCTGTTCCCAGTGAAATGGGCAACAGGATCATCTTGAGATGGAGGAGCTAGTTACCGGGAGGTGTTAGCTCAAAGGAATGGTGGTTGTCTTGAACAGCTGGAGCATCAATGTCCCCAAGGATTGGTTCCTCAAGTGGAATTCTGGGAATCATGGGATCAGCTACTCCTGAGGATGGGTTGGCAATGAAGAACCCAGGCCCCACCCCCAAGCTCTGCTGCTAAAGTCTACCAATTTGGGTCTTAATAAATCTAGGTGAGTGTGTTATACACTTAAGTGTGAGAGTCGCTAGTCTAAAACATGTGGTGCCGCAAAGTATAAATGCAAAGTGGCGTGAAGAGCCTTGGGGACATCGGTAACCTTTTTTCTTTTTCTGAAGCCGAAGATGAATGACCATAGCCCAGGAACACGAATTCAGGATGTTCCCGAAGACACGTTCCACGGTGGAAATGGTTGGGTGAGATTTTTATTAGCAGAACAAAGAAAGTCACAAATCCAGGTATTTATCAAAGGCATTGGTGAGGGCCATAGGAGGGAGGTTGAGAGGGCCATAGGAGGGAGGTTGAGAGGGCCATAGGAGGGAGGTTGAGAGGGCCATAGGAGGGAGGTTGAGAGGGCCATAGGAGGGAGGTTAAGGCCGATTGAAGGCAACTCTGGAATAGGTCTCAGGTGCTATCCATAGCGTTTTTAGCTTTCGTATAGGTGGAAGCTGGAGCAGTCTGCTGAGAATACCTTTTGAAGGTTTTAATGGTCACGCACAGGGGTGAGCCATGAATGGATTTCCAAAGGTCCTAAAACTAGTCCAAGATGACGGGGCTCTTGCCTACAACACTTTCCCTGAGATCTTCACTTTCCCTTCACAGGAAGTGAGGTGTTCAGAGGACATGGAAACGGTGCAGAGGCTTTTGTAGGTGGCTCTCCTATCAAATCACCTGTCACTGTGCAAATCCCTCAGATACACCCTTCTGCCCCAGCCTTGGCCCTCATAGAGGTGCTGCTGGGACGAGCTGGAGTGAGTCTGGCTCAGCGAATCAGTGTAACAGAAGCCTGAAGCCCACAGATAGGCCAAGCAGAACCCAAGAGCTGGCACAGAAGGGCAGGTCACGTGACCTAGAAGAACACACCCTTCAATTCAAGTCTTTCACCTGTGTGTGAACTTTATGGTCCTTTCGGCCCTTCCCTGATATGCTGGCTAGTTCTTGCCGGCTTGACACAAACTGGAGACATCTGGGAGGAGGGCCCCTCAATGGAGGAATTATCTTCACAGGTATGTTTACGGTGTGTCTCGGGAGGGCATTTTCTTGATGGATAAGGGCTAGCCCACTGACGGCTGTACCACCTTTGGCAGGTGGTCCTGGAAGGCATTAAGAAAGGTAGCTGGAGGTAAGTGGCATTTCTTCTTTAGTTTCTGCCTTGGTTTTCCTCTGTGGACTGTGATCTGAAGGTATAACCCAAGTAAAACCTTTCCTTCCCAAGTTGCTTTTGGTCACAGTATTGATCGCAGCAACAGAAAGCAAACTTGGACCCTTGAAAACAGAGTTCATCTTGCCCAAATGTGTTTTCTGCGGCTCGCAGAACTCCGTGTGTCATCTGTGATAGTTAAATTGATTGTAGACTTGAAGGGATGGAGGAGCACTGTGGAAACAAACTTTTAGGACACAGGACGGTCCACCTAGAGTGTGGGTGGCACCATGCCATGGGCTGGGGTCCCGGACTGAAAGCTGCCCCTTCCTCTTTCTCTGTTCCCAACTTAAGACACAATTATAAGGTCAGCTGCTCTCTTCTGCTGTGATGCATTCCTCAGCATTCAACCACGAGCCAGAATAAACTCTTCCTTCCTTTTTTTTTCAGGCGTTTTGTTACAACAAAGAGAAAAATAATGCATGCATCATATATCACAACCTTGTAAGAGGCCTGAACCCTACTGAGTCCTCATGCACCCCAACCAGAGTTCATGTCTCCATAAGGTCATGTCACGTGACCACCCCTTCCTCCTGCAAATTGCTGCCTTTGGCGCCTTCCCTTGGATCATGTCAAATCCCCGCCTAGTCAACTATCAACCTAACTTCTACAACGTATTCATTTTAAAAGCCCTGTTAGACTCTCCAATGTTCCTGAGCAGTTCACAAACTCCATTGTATAAACACCGAACGTTCACCAGGCCTAGACAGAAGCAGTGCCCAGTGTTACCGGGACTGTCAGACCTTGAACTACACTTGGCCAGCTCAACTGCTAGTGTGTTGAACATCAATTCGCTAATTCAATAGTTTATTGGCATTGGATGGGCTTGAATTTGACCTGTGGCTCCCATGAGAAGCCTTCCTAAAGGGAAGGAGACACAAGTCTGTGGGAGGCAGCCTGAGTGTAGGAGGGAGAGAGTTGATTGCAGGCAGTAACTGCAATAAAAGGGCGGCAGGGAAGCCATAAAGCTATCCACTGGAGGAACAGGGACACGGCTTTCCACAGAGGGCAGGCGACCAATGGACTGCTGGAGTTGTGGCCCAAGGGCCTTCAGCATACCAAGGTTGAGTATACCTGTACCTATCTGCAAAATGCCAGTTGGAACAGGTTGGCACAGGGAGGCACCTGGATGTGAGAACCACCCATATCCAGGCACCCATAGGGACTGCCACCCACTAGAGTGGCCTCTGCAGACCAGAGGGCTCTGTTGAAGGGCTGAGGTCTCCTGGGAACAGAACAGTCTAGACCTTGGCAAGGCCCACATCACCTCCTTTGAGAAACTCTGTGGATAACACAGCATGCAGGGCTCTCTCCGGAGATCTGGAAAGCATTCGGAAGCATCTTGTGCTAGCACCCAGACCCTAACCATGGCCTCTTGGAGGCCACGCTCAATCCTCAGTGACCCTTGGCTGGGGAGAGCCCCCCCATGAGTCCATTTTCAGTGCAGTTTATTGAGTTAAATGCTAAGAGCAGAAGTGGGCGGCTTTTCTTGACAAGGGCCCAAGTAACTACGTGGGGCTTGGTGGGCCATACGATCTCACTCCCAGCTCTGTCCCGATTGTAGAAGAGGCCTCAGATAACACATAAATAAGGAGCGGGGGTACTGTGGGCTGAGAGAACACTGCAATGGACAGGGACATTTGAGTGTATGTTGTCTTCACTATCCCAAACCATTGTTCTGAGTTTTTGAACAGCGAAAAATATGAAAAGCATTCTTTGCTCACAGGCTGTGCAAAAACATGCCGTAGTCTGGAGGCTGTGATATACTGTTCTCTGGTCTGAAGTATCAACAATGGCCTATTATGGGAAATAAATAAAAGTCTTCCTTTGGGTACTTCCTGGTCTCTTAATGGTCACCGAGTGCACAATGTCCTAACATTAGATCCCTCTCATCCCCCAAGGAACACACACAGAGACACATACGCAGCAGCGGACTATCTAAGATGGGGTTCTTGTTCTGGACACGGAGATGTGAGGTGGAAAGGCTCTGGGTTGCCATGGTAACCGCAGATGTTCTTTTAAGGAGGTTGCTGCTGCTAAGCAAGGGAGAGGAGAATGTCAGCAACTTGATTGTGAATTCTCTTCCCAGCCTCCACCTACCATCTATCGCCTCAAAGCTTACTAAGAGAGGGTGGAGACCAGAATTGAGCACACGTGGTTGTAAGGCCAGACAAACAGCAAGGAAAGAGTTTCTCAAATCAGCCTCGCTCCTCTTGAGCTTTTCCATCTTTAGCACATTTAAAATATGATTTGGTGGTTTTCATATTTATGTAGGTGTTACCTGAATGTAAATGTGCCATGTGTGTGCAGGGTCTCCAGATTCCAGAAGCAGGGTTTCAGATGGTTGTGAGCTGCCGTTTGGGCACTGGGAGTTGAATCCTGGTCCTCTGTCTGCTCAGCAAGTGCCCTTAACTGCTGAGCCATCTCTCCAGCCCCTCTAGCACAATGTATTTGATCAACTTTTCAGGTTTCGGTTCCTTGGCTCCCAACAATGCCACAAAGGGATGAAGCACCTTGCCAAGGGAAGGGGAGCTGAGAGAGCATTGGATGGTTGTTTATGTGGCAGAGATCAGAGCAAGGTATATATATATTTAAATCTCAAATGGATTTGCTCATTTATTCAGTATGCCAGTTTGAGTATGGTAAATCATAGTCCAAACATAAAGATTAGTAAGAAATAGTTGTGTTCCTCAAGGTGCTGCCACTGTCTGGTTCCCCAGGCACCCTTGACTTGACTTCCCCTAGAGAGCACTGTAAGAAAGATTCTCAGACTCAGGTTCCTGGATGGATCAAATCCCCCCTGGAACAAAAAGCCTTGGACCAAGTCTCTTTTCACACCCTCAGCCTTGACCAACTCCCCAATACAGAGACAGCTCTTCCGGTCTGGTGAGGCAGCTAATCTCTCACACACACACAATCTGTATTTATTTTTTAGTTTTATTTACTTATTTGAGAAAGCATCTTAATGTATAATTCAACTTGGCCTGGAACTCACTATACATCCCAGGGTGGGCTCGACACCTAGTGACGCCCTGCCCCGTCTCAGCTTGAGGATCAAGCATGGGCATCACAGGCCTTTAGCACCATGCCTGGTTGTGTTGAGAATACTCATGTGTCTTTTAACGATGTCTAATTACTGGTGTTAGTGCTGTACAATAGAGCCCTAGAGTGTTGTTTTTGCTCTTGTGTGACTGAATTTAATACCCTCTGATCATATCTCCCTGCTGACCCCCATGCTCCGCCCCCCAGCCTCTAATAGCCTCCTTTCTTTCCCTTTGATCTCTTAGTACAAGACAGAGTCTGTTCTCTTTCTGTTTTCTTTTTCAAACAGGGCTTCTTGTAGTCTAGGCTGGCCCCCAACTCTCTAGGGAGATAAGGATAATCCTAAATTCTGATCCTTCTGCCTCTGCCTTCCAAGCACTAGGACTATAGGTGAGCACCTTGCCCCAGGTTTATGCAGTGCTGGGGATCAAAGCCAGGGCTTCATGCCTGCTAGACATGCTCTCTGCCAACTGAGCTACATTCTCAGCCTGCACAAGCAAAGTTCTGGAATAGGATTTAGTGTCAGGGTCCATTGGGAACCCCCAGGAGGCTCCAGGCCCACTGCACAGGGTTTAGGGGCTGAGGGAATGGGTACACCAAGCTGTGTAAGTGCCACCACACTGGGTGGTCCTGCCATCTCCCTTGGCAGAGTTGCCCTCAGCCTGAGGCTTGCAGTATTGTAGGTCTGGCCCAGCTGGAATCTGTCCCCAGATGCTGGCCTCTCCTTTGGGAAAGCATGCTGGGAAAAAGCAAGTGCCACAAGACTGTGTAAGGTGAAAGCAACCTTTGTCTCCCTTCTTGGGTGGGGGCCATCCCCCTTCAGGTGGGGGCTACCCACTTCTTCAGGTGGGCTTGAAGCTACTGGCTCTGCAGAGGGAGACCATGTAAACTTGACCTTAGTTACTTGCAATATCCCAGGTGGCCTTTTCCCACAAGTCCACAAGTTATAGCTGGGACACAGCTTGAAGATTGTCACCTGCCTTTTTTTTTTTTTTTTTTTTTTGGTTTTTCTAGACAGGGTTTCTCTGTGGTTTTGGAGCCTGTCCTGGAACTAGCTCTGTAGACCAGGCTGGTCTCGAACTCACAGAGATCCGCCTGCCTCTGCCTCCCGAGGGCTGGGATTAAAGGCGTGCACCACCATCGCCCGGCTCACCTGCCCTTTTTTAAATGTGTTTTCCAGGTGATCCCTGACTGTCTAAATTTCAGAGTCCAAGGACTCTCTCCGGTGAGGTCCCTCAGGGATGACTAAAACTGTGACCTCACAGATCTCCCCAGGGAAGTGACTACCTTCCCTCTCTCTCACTCCCTCTCTCCCCACTCACCCCCATCCAGAGTGCCATATGTCCCCTTTTCTGTCACCCCTCTGAGAATGAGTGGTGCTCTGGCCTTGTTTTCTGGAGGAGAGCTCTACCTGGTGTCTGCAGTTTCCTCCCTCAGCTCAACAAGGTTTTTGTTTGACAATTAGACTTAGGAGCTAATGCTTTTGAGTGGGATTCAAATGGCTTCTTTGGCTACTATGGATCCTGTCTTCTCATTTGAAGCATGAGACCCTTTCCCATTTGGGGATTTGCAGCCTGGCTGCCCTAAGTCTACACAGCTCTTCCACTTAAAAGCCTCCCTGCCAATATTTACTGCTAGAGCTACTGCTTGCCCAGAAGCTACAGTCTGCTGCATCTTCTGGGAAACGGAATTTATGTCTCCTGGCAGCAGAGGGGGTGATGTCACCAAAGCCCTGTGCTCAACCCTGTAAGATGCAGCTGCTGGGGTGAAGGCTAAGGTAGGACAGGCAGGATGGGTCTACATAAACAAACCCTGCAGCAGAGGAGGTGACGTCACCGAGCCCTGTAAGACACAGCTGCTGGAGTGGTGGCTGAGGTAGGACAGGGAGCATGGGTCTGCATAAACAAATCCTGCTCTGAGGGCCTCCTCCTGCACCACGCCTTCCCCCACTCAGGCTGAATCTCTGAAAATTAACACCTTCCAGATTAGTATTGAGGGTTTGGGGTCAATGGTGGTGGGAAGACGGCTAGGCAAGGGGTGGGTGGTTGTCCACACAGAAGGGAACAATGATGCCTTTCCTCTAGGGAGAGTACCTGGCAGGTGAGCTGCTTAAGGCACCTTGAGGCTGAGTCTGGCCAGTGCCTAGCAAAGCTCGGGCTATGGCCAACTGTTTTTTCCCCTGTGAAGGACTATGTCCCCCATGGGGTGGGGTGTCAAATGCAGCACCCACCTACAGTCCCTCTCTTATCGGCCTTATGTGATAGTCACCCCCAGGCTCCAACCCAAGCTGCCCAAGGCAGAGAGACAGAAAGTGCTGCGTTTATTTGGTCCCACCCACTATCTTCTGTGTCCCCTATTTT